AGATATCACCTCAGGCCCTACTCACCCCAGGCTCAGTCTCCTGGAAGGCCCCTGCAGTGCTGAGCCAGCCAGGACAGACCACAGGTGGGGGATTAGATCTTTTTTGGGGTCAATTCCAGGAGGAGACTGTGACTGCAGAGCTTGGAGGCCAGCCTGCCTATCTAACATGATGAGCATGTGGAAGAAGCTAGTGCTCACCCCATTTTTTCTCTGGCACCTATTCTACCCACCAGCTATTCCCCAACTTAGTGTGGAACCCCACAGAAGGGTAAATTTCTATAACGGCCAAACCTTCCCAACCCACATGGTCCCAGAAGGTAGTAGGAGTGGCTGCTTTGATCCATCCCAGCAGTAAGCTACCAACACTTTCCTCAAGACAAGGGTCCCTAGTGCTGTCCTTTATCAACACACCTCCCCCATCCTAAACTAAGTGCTAATACTAACTGGTTCTTTATTTCTAAACTTTGTTTTTTCAGGCCTGATATGTGAGAATAAATAGAGTCCCTGTGTGTGTAGCCTTTGGAACTGCCATTGTCACTAGTAGAGTCCTATTAGGAAAGCCCTGGAGGCCTGCAAAAAGGGAAAAGTGAAGACCTGGAGCTCCATGAGGAGCAGGGCAGGAGGGTGAATAAAGTGCTCTGAGGTTGGGAATTCTAGCCCATCATCATGGTCTTCGTTATTTAGAGAAGATCACTTACTCTCTCCCTGTTTCCTCGTTTAGTAGACACCAGTGGAGTCTGCCATGGGTTATTACAAGTGTCTGGTGAGGGGACCCATGTCACACTCACCCAGGGCCTGGTCTCCATCAGGCTCAGAAGCAGTCATGCTGGTGACTGTCAGCACATGCAGGATGACATTCCTCCTGGGCACCAGGGGGCGCTGTGGTCCTGGCTTGGAGACTTAATTAGTCCCAGACACTGGGCTGTGATCAAGTGTACTGGGCATAACTATTTCACCCTTTGAAGACACTCAGCTGTAAAAATCAACTTCCATATTGAAACCCACACCTGCCATTCTTCTAAATTCAGGAAATCACCAGCTTGAGGCCCTTAGGCTCAGGGCTTAGACAAGACTGAGACACACACCCCAGGGACTGGAGAAGTTTTGCATTGGCTGCCCTGCCTCCTGGAGCTGCAGGCAGGGAGGAAAAGACAGGAGCCTGGAGAGGCCAGTGCAGCTGGGCAGCCTCAAGGCAGAGGTTTCCAGAAACTCTTGCTGAATTTGCTGCAATGCTGGTTATTGGAGCTATATCACAAAAAAGTGATGTAAGCCCAAAAAGGTAAACTTACTTATGTCACAAGTGCACAACTCAGACCAAGTTTCTCACCAGAGAGATACATTATAGTCCTTATTTTATTTCATAAAAACATACCTTGTGCAGATGATGTTTTACAAGAGTGTGAAGACTCCCTCCCAGCTGTGATCTTGGGTGACAGTCAAGGGGGCAGTTTCCCGTAGACCCAGGAAATGCCTCTTCAGAGGCCTGAGTGGGGCTGCGTCTCGGCTGAGTCTGCTCAGCAGGTGAGTCACTGCCTTAGAAAGGTCACCTCAGGGCCCCCGGATAATGTACAAATGTCAACGGTGCACATTTTTACAATGAAAAACCAGAGATTTCCTCCTCATACTCTACTGACAAGCTCCAAGAGGACATGTAAGTTGTTGGAAGAGATCACAGTGGGTTGGTGGACTCAACCGCGACTCAAAGAGGCATCCACACTGATGACAGATCATTACAGTTTCATCTTCTTACCAGCTATTGGAACAAGAGCAGGGGATTGAGGAGATTTTCTGCGTTGCATCACAGGAGCTGGCAATTTCCTGTCCAGGAAATTTCCAGGATAAAGTTCATAGAAAGACCATTCCAGTGATATCAGTCTGGACGAGTTTTTTCCTTGGGTTTCTAATCAGCCCCAGAGAGCACTGGGAACAACCCCAATACACCTAAGCTGCCCTGATGTAGAGCAGTAGCACCCCCTCAGGCTGCTGGAAAAACTTTCAGGGAGAATCTTTCTCCACTATTTGCCCCCATTTTCCCTTCCCCAACCCTGCCTGATTTTGCTACGCACAGAAGAGGGTGTCATTTCTGACCTTAGACCTCCCAGGTCTAGCTCTCTCCAATTCCCCAAAGGTGTGCTAGAGAATGTCATTCACCTTCTCTAGTTCTTTTCCCTTCCCTGTCAAATGTCCTTTGGTGTCAGCTAGAGTGGCCAACAGTCACCCTGTGGGACCCAAGTGAGATGAGCCAGGAACAGAGGAATAGGCAGCACCTTAGCCCCCAGGCAGCACCTTAGCCCCCAGCTAGATGCCGGGGCGTGAAGGTGCAGGTAGGGGAATAGCAACCATTACTTTGTGTTCAGCCCCCAGGTCACCTGGGAGGGGCCCAGGTCTGGATTTATGGGTCACATCTGCCCCACCCCTGCCTAGACACAGAGGCCCCCTAAACACTGTGCTGGTGACAGAGATCCTGATGATTACCTGGAAAATCCACCTAGTCTGCTGATATCACTTGATCCTTCCTCCAAGGTTCTTAGGAGAAAGTGTCACAGAGGAAGAGATCTATCATTGAGTCACAGACTCCTGCCATCATCACTGTCTTTTACATCAGACAAACCAGAAATTTCCCTGTTACAGACAAACGGACTCACGGGCTTTCTATACAAGTCAACAGTAAGACACAGGCTTTTGTAGAAAAAAAGAATTTATTGTGATTTGACAGGGAGCTACATCACTGCAGAAATTTTCTTCATCTGAACATAATGTCATTGACTAGAAGTGATATTTTCATGTTTTGGAACAAAGGTAGACTTCTTGGGTTTTATGTATTTATTTATGCTCACGAGAGCTGGGTGTAGGGGAGAGGTGCAGGGGTGTGAGAGGGGTCATCAGAGACACAGCGTGGAGCAGAACAGGCAGATCTACTGAAATACACTGTGAGGGGAGAAGGGGACAAGACAGGAGAGGTCTGCTGAGTCAGGTGGGTAGCTCCCTGGCCAGGGATCGAACTCATGCTGCGATGGCTGCAGATTGCTTCATAGTGCTGAAACCTAATCCCTTGTGTCACCAAGGAGGACCCCTCATGGTCTTTCTATTCTGGCACTGGCAACAGAGTCCAGCTTAGAGATGAAGAACGACACACGGGGAGGATGTGGTGAGGATTGTCACCGCATCTGCAACCACATGTGTCTACTGGCCTCTCTCTGGGAAGAACCTGTCACAGCAGAGCTCAGCTGAAGTGTGCCCCACCCACAGTATGGAAGACTCCTAGGAACAGAGAGGGTACGTGCTCATGCCTTATGCCCAGGACAGAATGTATGCAAGAGCAAAGTGGCTGTCATGGGCATTACTAGGGAAATGTTCCTCTGTCTCTGTCTTGGGTGCATCATCACCATGGCCCCATGATAGCACTGCACACAGCAGGCACCATCCCCCATGTCTCCCCACACCAAAACATCATTGTAATCCTGTGACCATTCACAACCTCATGGGTATGCGCTGGGTGTCTCAGGAGGGCACAGCCCCTTCCTCTATCAAATGGCGCTGTTCATGTTTGTTTGCATCTGTGACCCTCTGAAGACCCTATGCCTAGTCTTGAAGAAAACAGGGGCCAAATAGAGAGGGTAATTCACCTGTGGGCCAGCACTTCATAGCTCAGGGAATCACCTCTTGATTCAGCTTCTGAATCCCAACCTGAACAAATGAAGCCTCTGTGCCTGCTGCACACAGTTAGGCAGCCACCAGGGGGCAGCAGAGAGCCACCCTCACCAGGGTTGAAGCCTCCCTGCAGCTTGTGACATGGGGAGCATCAGTCAGCAGGAGCTAAGGCCTGAGTGAACAGGGGTCATTTTTCTACAGTGTCATTCTTTTTTTTTTTTTTTAAGATTCATTTATTCATGCATACAAGAACCGGGTAAGGCCAGACACGTGGGAGGGTGAGAGGATTCACAAGAGACAGAGTGGGGAATTGAACAGGCACACTGATGAAATACACTGCTGAATGGAGCAGCAGGTGAGACAGGAGAGGTCTGCTGCGCCATGTGGGATTCTTGCTTGTCAGCCAGGATCGAACTTGTGCTGCAGAGGCTGCGGAAAGCTTCACAGCGCAGCGCTCAACACCTGCGCGACCATGGGAGGCCTATAGTTCACTCTTGACAATCATGTTCTCATTACTCATGTTCTCATGTTCTCAGTCTGAGGCTTGGAGAAATTGGCTTGTTTCTCTGGCACTTATTCTGATATTTTCATTCCTTCACACACAGCCCAGTCCTGCTAAAGTGGCCTCACTCTCCAGACCCTGGATGAGTGCCTGGACACAGCAGGTGTCTGATAAACTTATGTTGACTTGATTACAAAAGAAGACAGCTTGTTACTTAATACCTTACTCATCAACAAAACACAATTAGAGTGAACTCATAGGGGTGCTGCTCTTAGAGTCCTTTCCAGGCCTCACTCTCACGCCACATTTCTGGACCCCATGATGTCTATGTGACCTGAGTGCACACAGAGGATACTGAGGCACAGCCCCTGTGGCTGTCCCAGTCGCTCAAACCAGAACAAATGACAGGCCTCAAAAATTTCTGGGTAGGCAAGTGAGGGATTTTATGCAGGATCTGCTGCTCAGAAGCTGTGAGGACAGGGGGAGGACCTGGACCTATCTAAGCCTGGGAATGTCACCTGTAGAACAGGATCAGAACACACAGGCTTCCACGGAATCTGCTATAGAAGGGCCTGTCCAGAGAGAGGCCAGGACAGAGCCTAGGGGAGGAGATTCGAGCAGATCATGAGACCAGAAGAGAAGGAGGGCCCCTAAGCTGAATGTGGGGACTCTAGAAAATACCCCTCCCCTCTCTGTGTCTGGGGCTGACACCACAAAGCTCCCCAAGCAGCAGCCTGGCTCTGGCTGATTTGCATAGCCAGCAACTCTCTCCAGCAAGGGGATAAGACAGGCCTGGAGGTTGTCCTGCCCAGCCTCAGCCTCAGGGAGCAGAATGAGGGATCCCACCATGGCCTGGACCCCTCTCCTACTGGGCCTCCTGGCTCACTTCACAGGTGCTGAGCCAGACTCACAGCCCCCCAGCTTCAAGGCTCTGGGACAAGACTGGTTGTAACTCTGAGCTCAGCAGGGGCTGACTGTGGGGCAGGATGCTCTTGATCGGCTCAGGATGGGGGGCTGGATTGGGTAGACACCTACTATACTCATTTATTGGTGTGAGCCTGTGAGCCTGTGCCTGCCAGGAGAAGAGGAGTGTGTGGAGTTCTTTCATTTGCCCAAAATGCCATACATCGGCCAGGCTTATGGGAAGCTGCGGATGACAATAAGGGAAAGGGCATCCAAGGGGACACAGCAGCCATCAGGCCTTGGCCAGGCCAGGCAGGGGGAGGTGCTCAGGGAATGGGTCCTGCACATTACCCCCCCTCTCCTTTTCTCCCTGCAGGCTCTGTGGTCTCCTATGAGCTGACTCAGCCTTCCTCAGTGTCGGTGTCTCTGGGACAGACGGCCAGGTTGACATGTCAGGGAGACAACATTGGTGGTAAATACGTTCAATGGTACCAGCAGAAGGCAGGCCGGGCCCCTGTGCTGGTCATTTATAAGAATAACCAGCGGCCCTCAGGGATCCCTGACCGGTTCTCAGGCTCCAAATCTGGGAACACGGCCACCCTGACCATCAGCGGGACCCAGGCCGAGGAAGAGGCTGATTATTACTGTCAGGTGTGGGACAGTGGTTTAGGGCCACAATGTCACAGGGCCATGGGGAAGTGAGACAAAAACCTCTCCCTGTCTACATCACAGTCTCCTCTAGCCCTGCGCGGATGGAGATATGGCCATGAGCAGCTCACACCTGGGTCCCATATCTGAGCTCCCTTAGGTCCCTGCTCCTCCAGGCAGTGTCCGCACCGGGCAGGTCAGGAGGGTGAGACTGACCTCACAGGTCAGGAGGGTGAGACATTCCTGCCATCATCTATCCTTATCCTATTGACCTGAGGGCAGGTCAGGAGGATAAGGATAGAAAAACTAGAAAGGAGGCACCCCAAGATCAGAAACCTGCTCTCACATGAGCTAGAGGTGGGGATGGAAGGTATTAATATATCCATTAACCCAGCTATAGGAACTGAGCTCCTTAGGCACCAAGGCCTAGAACACAAAGCACAAGCCCTAAGCAGGTATCAGACTGCTGTAGGGAGTGTCAGGAGCACAGAACCTGAAGGTGAAGATGTGGAGATTGAGGTGATTGTAGAATCTGTGGTCCTTTCAAATACTACATAGTTATTCAAAATCAACAGCAAACAAACCTGTCCACAAAGGAGTGAGCCCCCCTAAAGAGAAGACTATATCAGTGCAGTCTCTGCACAGGCACAGGGCAGCATCCTTCTGCCCACCTGTGCTTCTTCCTGCCAACTCTCTCCCTCTGCAGGGCAGCAGCCTTCCTGCCTGCCCGTGACCTGTACCAGGCCGGGGCTCCTCTTCACTGACCTCCCTCAGCAGAGGCAGCTCTCATCAAGGGCACTTGCTTGTGACCATGCAGGCCTCTCTCGTAGCAAACCCACCTCTTTTAGTGCAGCCCTTTCAGCCTGCTTGTGTCTATAACCATGCCCGTTTTGTTCTCTCCCTTTTATAATAACACATAACTAATGATTCTGTGTCATAGCAAACACATAGGGAAGTGTGCCGTGTGCCAATGAAAGGGGAGCTCTGGTGAAAACTTTCCCAGAGTAACCCAAGGATCCCCTCTCCAAACCCAACAACTCCAAAATGACATCAGAACACAGGACAGGCTGCCATGTGCTTCTTGCCCACAGTAGTTGTGATGGATTGCGGGCCCAGAAGGTACAGAGAAGAGAAAGGGCAGAGAGAACCCTGAGCTGTGCATGATTCCCAAGAGCACTGGGGAGAACAGGTATGTGGGAGGGTGAGTAGGGCTAGAGGAATGGCTCCCTGAGGCACAGAAGGAGCTCCCTCACACTCACACACATACACACACACACACACACACACACACAAACACATCCCATCATAGATGCTTTGGCCCAGTCCAGAGAGGAAAGCTTCTAGTAAGGCATCAGGTTTCCTACCCAGGAGAGCTTTGTCTCAGTAGTGGGATAATGAGTCCAAACTCACAGCCATCCCTGGGCCTCCTAGAAAGTGTAAAAGGAAATTGAGCAATGATTGAACTCTGCCCCATCATTTTACAGAATAGAGGTGTTTAAAATGCTTAGAAATGAACACAGACCTCCAGTCCCACACACGGATGCATTGACAAAATCTGGCATCAATCAAAACTTTCTTGCAGAGAATTATGAAAATGAGGTTCTAATTAATAAGAAAAATATAAATGATCCCAAATGGGCTTGAAATTGCCCAGCAGCTCTAATTTGTAGAGAAGAAACCAAATAAAAGATTATGATGATTCCCCTTTGTTCCTGAGAGTACGGACACAAAAAATATTCAGGCATATTCTACAAATGAGCACAGTAGAATCTGAGATTCTAAACCACCTTTTAAAAACTCAGTAAACAACAAGCATAATAAATGCCCCTAGAGAACAACAGCATTTTTTAGAACAGTGGTAGAGACAGTGTTAAAAGTCTTCAGAGCTAAGGGGCATTATGGAAGCGGGACAGCATGAGGATGAAGCAGATTTCTCATGAGAAGAATGCAGGTGAGTGGACGGTGATTAACATCTCTAAGATGAAAAAGAAGAAAAGATCTAAAGGTTTACCCAGTTGTTTCGTTTTTCATAATGAAAGGACAGGGTTTCCTCATAGCAGAGCAATAAGACAGAAAACAGTAGTGAACCTCCTCAGGCAGAAGGAATAATACCAGAGGCCTCCCTGGTGGTGCAAGGGGTTAAGATGCAGCCCTATCAAGCTATCTGTAGCCACTACAACATGAGTTTGATCCCGCAAAGGTGGTGGCTCACATGGCGCAGCCGACCTCTCCTGGCTAACCCACTGCTCCCCTCAGCAGTGTATTTCAGTCAATCTGCCTGTTCTGCTCCCCATTCTGTCTCTGGTGAATTCTTTCCTGCCACCCACCTCTGGCCTGTACCCCCAGTTCTTGTATGCATAAATAAATATATCATAAAAAATAATAATACCAGAGAGAATCTTAATCTTCAAGAGGGAATGAAAAGTATCAGAAGTGGAACTGCAGAGACAAGATGCTAATATAGAAATCTATTGAAAAGAACATCACTCTCTCAAACAAAATGCACTGACCATGTCGGGTGGAATTTATAAAGCTGGTAAAAGTAAACTGTTGACAGTTGTAGCAAAATGAATGAAAAGAAGTGATGGCAACCTGTTCAAGGGTCTAATTCTCTTATGTGACATATTGTAATATCGCCTAATTTAAATTGTGAATTACAATAAGATTATGACAAGTTACAGTTACTAAGCAAAGTAAAGGGGGAGTAGATAAAGTGGAATCATAACACTATTTAAGCAAAAAGAAGCAGATAAATGAAAAAGCAAAAAAAGAAAAAAAGATGGGAAAACGAAATACCATTGAATGTTTATGATAATATTATGGCATGTTTGAAAAATACTACGGTGTATTTAAAAATATATTAATGCCCACTTTCATTGTAAATAATCACAATACCACAACAAGAGCAGAAGTTATCGGGTGAAATGAACCTATATAATATATATGCTGAAGAGAGAAAAGCCACTGTAAATACAAAGACCCAAAAATAAACTCATGCCATTCGCAGCAATGTGGTGGAGCTAGAAGGAGTTATGCTCAGTGAAATAAGCCAAAGGAAAAAGAAAAAAATATATTACAGAGGTTCACTTATAGAGGAATATAGAGGAACCAAATAAGACATCAGTGTAAAAAAATAATAACAGTACAAAACACAATAAAGCCCTGCAGCCTGAGCCAGCCAGGACAGATTACAGGCAGGGATTATTGCTGCATGGGGTCAAGTCAAGGAGGTGACTGTGATTATGGAGCTTGGAGGCCAGCCTGCCTATCTAACATGATGATCATGTGGAAGAAGCTAAGGCTCACCCATTTTTCCTTAGGCACCTGTTCTACCCCACAGGTGTTCTCCAACTTAGTGTGGAGCCCCACAGAAGGGTAGATTTCTATAACGGCCAAACCTTCCCAACCCACAGGGTCCCCGAAGGTAGTAGGAGTGGCTGCTTTGAGCCATCCCAGTAGTAAGCTACCAACAATTTCCTCAAGACAAGGGTCCCTAGTGCTGTCCGTTATAAACACACCGCCCCCATCCTAAACAAGGTGCTGATACTTATTGGTTCTTTATTTCTAAAATTTGTCTTTTCAGGCCTGATATGTGACAAAAAATAGAGTCCATGTGTGTGTTGCCTTGGGGACTGGCATTGTCCCTCAGCACAATGTTCCCTAAAGCCCTCTGCATGGTTGTGCTGTTATGCCGCGGACCAACGCAGCGGTAGACTTGCAGGACTGTCTCAGGATTGAGAAACTGTGAGGATGCTCAAGGAATCGGCGCATAAATGACAGACAGACACACAAATGACAAACAGACACACTTCAAGAGTGAAGATCTGAATGTAATTTGCTCAAAATCATCATACACTTTTATACCTTTTTAACAATGGATGATTTCATACAATTTAATTCTTTCTCAGCATAAAATACTTTGTAAGGCATAAGACATCTACTTTGTTATTCATGTTCATGTGATCGCCGTTCCATGACATGGCACAATAAACAATCTCCAGGTACTGAATCTACACAATCATTTTAGCTTACACCGAACAGCATTCTTTAAGCTAGCTTTTCTTGATTCGTATCCCAAAACCACAATGATCAAAAACATTGATATTTACCTACTGGCACCTTCTACTTTTAGTGATCACGAGCAATATATTCTCTACATAAGCATTTTGATTTTTATGGTGTTGTCTCAGGTGAGAAGTATTATGATTATTATAAAACTACTATTGCCACACACTATTTTCTTTATCATGCATTTCCTGAAACTGATTGTACACATATAAAGAAAAAGCAAAGTAAGTGAAAAAGTAGTATGATTATAGACAGGTTGCTAGGTTGCTACTTATTCTGAAACAATGGCTATCTGATTAATGGTAAAACTGCTTTGTAGGTAATTCCATCAGGCTTGTTTGCAGGTGACGTTCTTAGCAGCCTTGTTTCCACCAAAGGAGGGGTTAATTACTGCGGGCTTGTTGCCTAAATTAGGCTTATAGGCATGTGTGCCTTGTTTGATCTGAACGCCAAAGTTTATCATGATGAAGCCCCTCGGGGACTGCGCCTGTCTTAGGTCGTCAGGAGTCACAGACATGAGGCTGGCCAGTGCCTTCTTTAGTCTGCCCCCGATCTTACCCGTCATTGACTGTCCAGTCCAGCGCACAGGGGAAGGGGGTCTTACTCACTCTGATGTGTCTGAGTGAAAGCCTCCCTCTTTCCAGTAAGTTCACTGGTGTTCAGCGGCAGAGGTTGCCACACTGTTAAGAGATCATTCCCAGCTTCCCTGAGTAGGATTCCATGGTCCATGGAACAATGTCGGGTTACCTGTCACCGAGTTCTCAACAGGATATAAATTATATAAATTATAGCCCTTATTTTATTTCATAAAAACATAGTGTGTGCAGATGATGTTGCACAAGAGTGTGAAGACTCCCTCCTGGCTGTGATCTTGGGTGAAGGTCACGCTTCAGGAAATGCCTCTTCAGAGCCCTGGGTGGGGCTGTGTCTCCAGCTGTGTCTCTCAGCAGGTGAGGCTACTGCCTTTGAAAGGTCACCTCAGGGCC